ATTGATTCAATCAATCTCGAATGGATATATTCAGCCCAATTGAATTCACCCTTCAAGCCTTCATCGCAAATGAGCTTCATATATTCCTTGTTCGTTGACGTATCACCCGTTGGACAAAGAAATATCCCGATAAGGTACAATAGAACTCGGGCCTTCAGCTCATCCCCCCAGTAAGATCCACTTTTGATATCCTCTTCAACTTCAACATATGTCACCTTATGATTCAAACCATATTTGGAGGCAAGTGCTTTCCAGTTCTTACTCCTACAGACTTCTATAACACTTTTGCCTTTGTTTTGTACCCCCAAGACGACTGCAGCAGTCGATACCCCCAGAGGGAATGAATAATCACCATACTTAGCCATACATTGACTGACGTCAAATTGTGCCATCAAGGATCGACACAATTCCCTCCGAATAGGTCGATCCCTTACTCCGATCAACGATCCAAAACCTATTTCTCCCAGCACATTCAACTGACCCTTCTCCTTAAGGTGTTTAATTAATAAATTCACCCTTTTAATGATGCATCTTGTCGACACTTCCTACATTTTTTAACAATATAATGTTATAGTTCTTATATATTTGTATCAACGTATTTACAAGTTTAATGAATACCTTATTTTCATGTGCTTTCCTCCGTTCTTTGTATTCTTTACTATCATTCCTTGACTGTGTGATGTAAGGTTCTTTTTCAGCATCACTCATTGAATTCCATTTGGACCTCACATCTTTTTTCACCTAATATTAAACATAAACGTTTCTTAATCAATACATTAACACTAAATACTAATACTACTCAATGTCAATTTCATTTTACATACCGAACCGCTCTGTGTGCCATCTCCCTTCATCCTTTTGCATTCGGCCATACTGTTAACATTTAAAATTTGTAATCAATTTAAAGTTTATCGATACTTTAATCCAATTACCATTTCAACAATAATAACAAAAGGACATTGATACTTACCAGAAGTACATATATCCACCCTTTGGTTGCTTTCGAGTCTCGGCCTCAATTTCAAAGTCATCTGCTACACCAACAATTTTCCAACCCATTGACTCCATTTTTCCTTCATATATCAGTTTACGCAAATCAAATTATTTTGTTACATACACTTTATTCAATATACAAATATAGATAACTACTCTTGTGGTAAAACGGTTTTCTTCAAAAGAATTTGAATGGCCACACCAAAATGTGTCGGCACATTTATACAACCTATAATATCATTTTCTACCTATAATATTTAATAAAGTATCGACATTTATATTTTTCCTTGAATATCTATTTCTACCTGCAATCAGTCCCAATGCTTCCTTACTCCAAAACCCCAAACAACACATAAAAACCCTATCGCGATACTGTAATAATAAAAAATTAGGGTTTCGACAACATACTTTTCGATTCGACTGCAGCAACAAACAAACAAACTTCGCTTTAGAAACGCCTTCTGAAATACAGCAACAATTACGCTTCGATTTCAAAAACTCGTCCGTTCTATCTTTTTTCAGAGGATATTTAGCTATGGCCTTTATATTTTCATCGGATATGTTATTTATATTTAATCGATACAAATACAAAAGTGTCGATACTTTTATGTCAGGTGTCGATACTTTCGAAAGGATAATTATCTATTTCTTTGAAAGTGTCGATAATTTATTACACGTACTTACGAAAGTATCGACACTTTCAATATATCCGGTATCATTTTGATACCGGTTTTATCATATTTTTACCTGTTATATCGTTGTGGATCGATATATTTTTTTAAAGTATCGACACATTATAGGCGCTATAACTGCTTCTCTTTTAAATTCACAAAGTGTCGATCCTTATATAAAGTATCGACACTTTTAATATATCCAGTAACGTTTTACCGGTTTTATCATTTTTTTTTACCGGTTTTATCATATTTTTACCTGGTATATCGTTTTGGATCGATATATTTTTTAAAAGTATCGACACTTTATAGGATTTAAAACTGCTTCTCTTTTAAATTCACGAAGTGTCGATCCTTATATTAAAGTACCGACACTTTAAATGTATCCGGTAGCGCTTGACCGGTTTTATCATTTCTATACCAGTTTTGTCATAGTTTTACCTGTTATATCGTTTTGGATCGACACATTTTTAATTTGGATCGACATGAACCGGTAGCACAATTTTTTAATATTTCTTCATGACTTAGACCTACTTTTATATGTATGGACACTTTTATAAAAATGATATATACTTTTTTTAAAGTTATGTAATTTATGTTTCAATTTATTTAATAGTGTTTCATGTTTTCCACCTACAATATTAATTTAATAATTTAATTTACACAAAATATTATTTGATTGTTTTGATATTTTATAAAATATTATTTAGAATTTAAATTTAACAATATTAACCAAATATAATAATAAATATGTTTTCAACAGTGAAATAAGTATGGACACTTTTATAAAAATGATATATACTTTTTTGAAAGTTATGTAATTTATGTTTCAATTTTTTTAATAGTGTTTCATGTTTTCCACCTACAATATTAATTTAATAATTTCATTTACACAAAAAATTATTTGATTGTTTTGATATTTTATAAAATATTATTTAGATTTTAAATTTAACAATATTAACTAAAGATAATAATAAATATATTTTCACAGTGAAATAAGTATGGACACTTTTATAAAAATGATAGATAATTTACAATATAACAGGTAAAAATATGACAAAATCAGATTCATTATGACAAAACCGGTAAAATTTACTTGATATGTTAAAAGTATGGATACTTTTATAAAAAAGATAGATACTTACCGATAACCAAAGTTTACCGGTTACCAAATTTTTTAATAGTTTTTCATATTTTCTACCTAAAACATTATTAGTTGTCAACATAATAGGTACCGCTAAACCGAATTTATTAAATACATTTTAATGTATCCGGTAATACTGTATATTAGCCGTATATTAACCCGCCTTTCCTGAGACATTCCCGCAAATCCTACTTTAAACCAGTGTTTCATGAAGAAATCACATTCTAGACCATTTTGAACTCAATTCAAAGTTTAGTGACCAACCTAGGGTCTAAGCCAAATGATTGATCTTTAATTAATACAACTTAAGGCCCGTTTGTTTTACTGAAAACAGTTTCTGAAAAATGAATTACATTTCCTTAAAACATTTTCCAGAAAATATTTTACATTGTTTGGATGTTGCATTGTAAAATGTTTTACATTGTTTGGTTATTTTTTCTAAAAACAATTTACGGAATCTAGTTTTTGTAAAAATGTATACATTTTTTATATTTTTCTTGTTATTTACCTTTTAAATTTTTTTTAAGTTGTTTTTTATAAAATTGTATTTTATAAAATTTTGAAATTAAATGTTTTATTTCTATAAGTACACCAACTAAATCCAATATTAGAACAAATTAAGAAAATGATCCAAACAGTGAAACAATAACATATAAAGAAAGATGCCATCCAAACTAAAAATTCAACTTGAAAATGTTAGTGTATGAACAAAACACAGAATTAAACAATGATTCTTCAAAACTTAAAATATAAGTTTGAGATGTTCCATTTTGCTTCACAATAACCTGAAATAGAATATGAATGCATTTTTAGCCATTCCCCATTTGAACATTTAACATGGATGTATAATATTTATTCTATTATCATTTAACATATTTGACCATTAATAACTTTTAAAAAAATCATTTAGATACCTGATATATAACACGTTTCTAATTTCTTTTAATTTTTTTTTTCAAAAAATTAAAATTATTAATTTTTTAAAATACCTAAAATCCTGAAATTACATCCCTAAATTTCTAAAATCATATATGCTTTCATAAAATCAACCACCACCTATTATCTCCTCTCATACTCTCACCTGCCGGCCACCAATTGCTGTCGAACATTATCGCCTATTTAATCACAAAACTCATTGCATGAGATCAATTTTTTTATTCCAGCTATCACCTAGTTGTCACTGTTAATTGAGTTCCAGCTTGTGTATACATTTCCTGGAAAGGAAATTATCTTATCAGAATTTTCCCATCAAATATGAGAACCTTTAATGTAGGACCCATGAAATCTCTAAGAGCAATTTGCAAGAATAACAACAGAAGTGGACCTAATGCTCTCAGTTACTGCAACACTTAATAAACCATCCAAAACAGAAATAGTAAAGGAAAAAACTCACCGAATGAATAATTACCGAATAGTTCTTCCACAAGAGATTAAAACTATTAATGGCTTACATTTTTCAATAGAAGCACGCCACTTTGCATAATAACTCGCATTAAAACCAATCCAAGGAGCAGACAACACAAGTACAAACACTCTATATTGAGTATTAAATGTTCATGAACGAGAATATGAATTTTTTTTTTTGTTGCAAAAAAGGGTATAAAACTCGAGTGACAAGCAACCTAAATTGAGATGGTTTATCTTTGTTTAATTGTTAAATATAATTACCATGGCAATAAACAAAGTTCACGTTCCTGTGTTTATTCATATTAATTTTCTCATTGTAATTTCCATCCTCTAAAGGCATATAAAAAGCTTATCATGAGGAGCTCAGCATGTTTTTCTATAACTGAGAACAGAGGAACTGCCTCTGATGTAAGAGCCATATTTCAGGCTTTTAGCTGTGTGTTCAAGTATGGTGAAAGTTCTTACAAACCATATGTTAAAATTTTGAATATGACCCCAACATAAAAAAAAAAAAAGGACAACAAATCATATTTCATTTGAAGACAGTCAAATTCTTCCTACACATAAGGTCAACAAGTTGCTAAGCTCTTCTAAAAGAACACTGGAAGAAATGTTTCACAGACCTCAATGCACAATATAACAGATTCACGAACACCCGAATTTGGGTCATTCAACAGCTGCAAAATCTGATAAAGGAATTTATATGTCAGCTAATCTCTGTGGCATTTCATGACGAGAAATAAAAATCCATTTTGGAAATGTTAAAGAGCATACAGGAGGAAGAATTGCCCGTTGAATTGGAAGTTCAGTAGATGCAAAAAGACTGATTGATGATGTAACCGTTCGCGCAAATTCCTCTCGAACTCTCCAACTTCTATATATCCAAGCATAAGAGCCAGCTCTTTCGACAATAATTGTTGGAGAAGAAACCTGAAACAATATATACACACGCACATTTTAGAAATCAGACGAATTCTTCACCACTTAGCCTAAAACATTAAAGCATCCCAAACTCAGAAAGAAACTGGTAACTTTACCTCCATGAGAGTGAGCAGTAGGCGTCTGGCGGCGTCTCTAACAGGCTGTTTGGCGTCACCTAACCGTTCAACAACTGCGGGAACAAGGGCGTTGAAGTAGAGAAAAAGGAGGCATTCTGTTTTATTTTTCTACTGAAATAAGGACATGAATGAGAGATACAAATGGGTGTTTGTTCTATTAGTACAATTGAGGGGGGAAATAGAGAAAAAAAATGAATCAAGAGTGAAATCTTACTCATTGTGTCGCCGATTAAAGAAAATTTTGATGGTACCGTCGGTGAGGATAAGAGAAGGTAAGACGGTACCACCGGCGAGGAGAAAAGAAGGAAGCGAGGAGAAAAGAAGGCAAGATGGTGCCGCCGGTGAGGGAGAAGAGAAGACAAGATAGTACCGCCGGCGAGGAGAAGAGAAGGCAAGAAAATATTCTTGTAAACGTAAGAAAGAAGAGAAAGTTTGTGTGGTAAGTCATTTTACCACAAAACACACACCCTTTTTCCCTTTGACTGTAAATTACTTTACATTGACTCGTTCATTTTGCATTGCCAAGCCCAAGAAAATGTTTTCTGTAAAACATTTTACACCAAACAAACGACCCTTAGACATTATTCAACAATAAAAACCTTAAGGAAGAATTACTAAGGAATCGATCTTTTAAGGGAGGGATCATCCGTTCATGAAGAGTATTGATCCATTTTTTAAAAAAATCTAAAAAGTCACGTGAGTATATATGAACATACAATCGATCTTATGGTCTATAAATATGTTTAGAACGTACTTGTTACACTTAGAATATGTTAATATATATATGATACACATTTATAACATAAATAAACACACCTTCGAAATCAAAAGTCATAATTACATAAGAAAATTAACTTTGCACAACTGAAGTAGTCATTTAATCATTATAGGTCATTTCATATTTTTATACGCTTAACACATCATGTATCAACTTTAAAACTTGTCCAGGTGATCATTACACTTAATTATGATCAGTTCATAATTTGACTAAATTTACATATTTAATCATTGTAAACAACTTGCATGCCATATCATCAAACTTCAATTAGGGTTTAAATTCAAATTTATCATTCAAAACACGTCATATCAAGTGACATAAGTACTAGCAAGGTACTAAAATGATAAGTCAACCGTACACCACATTTAAAGTTTCCACATTGCCTCAATTCAAAATAAGTTTCGACATACATTAATAAGATTGTTCTTGATTCGATCATTACGGGATGCTAGTCTCTCAAGCTTCGAGTAAACTCCTAACTATCTGAAAATATTAATAATGACTGCGAGCTTATAAAAACTCTATGATTAACCAACATTCAACATAAGAGTTACAACATTAAGGTCGAACTCTATCACGTTTCAAACACTTTACTGACTGTGTACTCGGCATTGTTCATAGCTCGATGATCTTGAAGCTCTCCGATATCTTTGAAACCTCTGGCCCTCTTTTTTTTAGTTTCCCTCTAATTCCAAGGTTTTGCATTGATTAATCTAGACCGACTCGAATCGTACAATTAACTTTGATGGGAGAATCTCCCAATTAAAATTTTATACATATACAATAACTCGAACCTAAAACATTACTTAAATAATATTCATTTACTTATCACTTAAATAAATCTCCGTTGGTACCCACCGACCCTCTTTACAAACTTATAAAAGAGCATAAAAGTATTATTAACCTTTCTATTTTGAACCTCAAACTCTTTAGTCACTACGGTCAAATCACTCTCACCAATGCTAGAGTGAGTGGTGTGACCCTCAACTATCATAATCATACTCTTACTCAAGCCCTCTAGTATATCAAATCTATAATTCGACATAGAAAAAAAAAAAAAGGAAACACCATCGAATTTCTAGTTTTTGATGAGTACATTTTTAACCTACATATATCAATCAATAAAAGAAAATATATTTTCAGTGACATTAAGAATTATTTTTTAAAATGCCAAATTTAGTCATGAAAATTCACATTGGGTTTTTTTAGTCGTTATAAATTTGACGAGAATCGATCCGACCCGGTAATTATCAGATCGGGAGTCGATCGTTAAAGACATGGATACTCTTTTTAATTGCTTTTAAGGGTCTTCAAATCAGGTAACGAGTGCTTATTTCTTTCCAGATTAACTTGATCAACTCTAAGAAATTAACATAAATTTCCAACAACTCGACTTTCCATTCATGAATCGTATTGGAACATCACGTTTTTTATTGTGCACTCTAATATTCAAAAATAGCTAAACGATGGATCACAACCCCCAATTGCATCTATAGTACTATCATTAGAAGGATTTTTGTATCGACTATCTATTCTTAAAAATTGATTATTAGAGTTAAAATTTTAATTTTCTTAACACAAATTCGTTTTCTCTTTGATGCTTTAAGTAACGTTGACGCCGATCTCCCAAAATCTAACAATAAAAGATCAAAGCATTAAACATAATAATAGTAAATAGTCGAACACAATTTTGCATTCCTTTATCGCTAAAAGAATGATTTTTGAAAGAAATTTTTTAGGGTTAACTACATTATTGATCACTTATGTTTGTGTTTCGTTAATTTTTCCTCATTGATTTCAAAAATATAATATATGTCCACTTCTATTTTTAATTAATTAAGACGTAGTTTCCATGAGTTAACTGTCATTAACAGTTAACAGATTAGATGATATGACAATTAAATATTTTAGATTAATTACATATTTTGTCTCTATTATTTACATATTCTCTCAATTTAGTCATACTTTTAATAAATTAAAATAAATTTAATCCTCCAATCGAATGATGCCATGTGGCACCAGTGACACATGTCAATCAATTGGAGGATTAAATTTATTTTAATTTATTAAAAGTATAACTAAATTGAGAGAATATGTAAATAATATGGATCAAATATGTGATTATACCAAAATATTTAATTATCACGTTACCTAATATGTTAACTGTTCAAAATAGTTAACTCGTGTGACCACATCTTAAATAAAAGTGAAAGTGATCATATCTTAATTAAGTAAAAACAAAAGTGACTATATATTATGCTTTTTGAAATCAATGAGAAAAAATGAACAAAACACAAATATAAATGATCAATAATGTAATTAACCAATCTTTTAAAGTCTTTTTCTTTTAAGTTGTTTTTAAATTGCGTCTCAACTAGTTTTTATATAGTGGAAGGAAAAATGAATTTAAAGATTAAGAACATTCGATGAAGAGGCTTGACCTTCGATGAAAAGAATTGATAAAAGCTAATAGATATGATAAGATAGATGTAACTTTAAATCAATAACTAATAAGTTTACTCAAATGAAATGACTTATTATTAATGTCTATCACCAAATGATGAGATTTATTAATAACATTAATATCAGTCAACCAATCCATTATTTTTCCAACAGAGTGAACCTAATGCAACTAGTAGCATAGTTTGCAGCCAACACTGTCGTGTTGTATTCATACATTCTAAAACTATTGCAATATCATCTTCAAGTGCGTGCAAAGTTCTCAAATAACTTTCTTTGTCTAACTCTGTCTAATTATCAAGCTTTTCTCATATTACATGCCCCTATATCCCAAGCCTAGCACAACCTTTCGAAAGCACCACACAACTTAATTTAAAAAATTAAATTGTAACTTATTGTGCACTCATAATTAGGATGGTCTTGAGATCGAACCGACCAGTTCCAACTCATGCCCATCCCTGGATAACACGCTAATCAGTCACCATTACTATAACGAAGAATTCTTTCAATAAAAGTTGTTCACGTCTCTATGTTTCGTGTCCCATCAACATTCATATCGATCTAACTCTCCTTTGATCTACAACACACAATCTTTCTCATAAATGTGCTCACTATTGACTACGTCATTTATATTGCTATTTAATGGGCGAATTTCCTGATATATCATCGTTGAACAGTATATTTTTCGATTAGACACCGTTTACATTATATTTTCTGATCTAACACCCTTTGCAGAAAGGTGTGATCCCTGCAACGCGTTTTACGCTGATTTGGTATCACGTGAGGTAAGGTGCGCCCCCTTAAACGCGCCTTATGCTGACATGGTATACACGTGCGTACAGGGGTATAGTGCGGTGCAGGGGCCGAGCCTTGCCTCAGAATCTGCCACGCGTCAGTAAGGCGTGCCCCCTGCGGCGCGCCTTGGGTATAATTACCCACCTATCCCGACGTTTCACACCCCAATCCCTCCCTATAAATACCCCTATCCTCAATCACTTTCATCACACAAACTTCTCTCAACTTCTCTTATAATATCTGTTTAAGGTATATTTTATTATATTTTTATTATTTTATATTTAATTTATTTAAGTATTTAATTTATTTAATATTTTATTTAATTAATTTTTTGCATATATAAAATGGAAGCCGGTCTACTTCGCTTGGATGGAAATCATATATCTCGACACTTTGCTGATACGGTAACATTTTAACGTTTTAATTTAATTTAAATTATTAGTAATTATTTGTTGATTTATTTAATGCATGATTATTAAATTAAGAATTAATTTTTGTAATTATTTAATTTTAGGAGAAGTATCGTGTATTAGATCAATTTATTAGGAATCTTAAGTTAGTGATATCTAGCTGTGTCTTGCCGTATTTAGTAGAGGTTGGATTCAGTTACATAGGTAGATATCAGGGTCACTGTAAGATAGAACCAGACCTTATTTCTGCCTTAGTTGAGCGGTGGAGGCCGGAGACCCACACATTCCATCTTTCGTGTGGAGAGTGCATGATTACACTTGAGGATGTTGCTATGCACCTGGGGCTTCCGGTGGATGGAGATGTGATATTGGGGATCACGCAGGGTTCCTAGACTGCTTTGTGTCGGGATAATCTAAGACGTGTCCCGGAAAGTTTTAACGGTGGTCGGATACCGTTAAATTGGTTATATGCCAATTTTTGGGAGTTGAGCGAGGACGCGTCAGATTATGCAGTTAAAATGTATGCATGGGCATGCATATTGCAGCTGATAGGAGGGTTGTTGATATCGGACAAATCGTGCAACCAAGTTCATTGTATGTGGTTGTGACATCTTGTCGACTTTCGTCTGGCCGGATCACTCAGTTGTGGCTCGGTAGTTTTGGCTTTTTTGTACAAGGAGATGTGTCGAGCCACTGACTACAGCAGAAATGCTATCGGCAGATGTCTCCTCCTGCTGCAGTCTTGGGCATGGTATCGATTGACCTTTGTATGTCCCGTTGTGAAGAACCCATTCGTATTTCTGCTACTCTTGAGGTAATTATAAAACTGATTTCGTATATTAATCATTTTATATAGCGTATAATAAATTTTTTTTCTTGAATAGGTGGTCGACTGATAGGAAAAATCATCAGGAGCTACCTGATGATTTAGAAAAAATTAGG